TTTTTTTTGGTTCGCGTTCGGCCCGAACGGCCGAACGCCTTCCGAAGGGGCCCCGTACATTCGAGCGTTCGGATTCGGGCGTTCGGCCCGTCCCGAACGCCGGCAACCCTGACTATTATTATTATTATGATTTTTATTTTTATTTTTAGAATCCATTTTGAAATTTTTGTGAATTCAAAAATACTCAATTAACTATCTTTCTCGACATTTCCTTCTCAAAAGTATTTTATTTTCAAAATGTTCAAAAATACATAGGTTAAAATTCAAAAACAATTTTAATTTATTTGTTTTTCAAAATTTTGAATTTTCGTGATTCAAAAATATTTTAAAATGAATTAAACTCTTTTTCGACATTTCTTTTTCAAATATCATTTCTATTTAATACTTTTTTGATTTTTTTTTGAAATTACGAAAATGATTGTAATTATTTTTTTTTTCGAAATTTTTATAACTCAAAAATATTTTATTATTTTACAATTACTTACATTCTTTTCGTTCGGATTAATCAATTCTTTCTCAACATTTCTTTTTCAAAATTTACAAGTTCACAACCACTTTTACTTCATTCTTTTTTGAAAATTTTGAAATATGTTCGAATTAATCAAATCCCTTTTTGAAATTTCTTTTTTGAAATTGGGAAACAATTTTAATTAATTCTTTTTGTTTTTGAAAATTTGCTTGAAATACATCATAATTAATTATTCCTTTTCGCAATTCTTTTCCAAAATTTTCTTTCAAAATTCCTTTTTTTATATGATTCCGAAGTACTTTTCTTTTATTTTTTGCTATTCTGAATTCTTCAATTAATTTCGACTAAATTCAATTACTTCACGACTGCACTAATCTCTTTATTCCTAGCCTACCAGAGTGGCCCGGGGTCACTTGCCCAACCGGGCCAAAAACAATAAAAAAAAATAATTTTAATTTTTATTCTAAATTTGGTGCAAATTTTCGATGTGACCCTGAGGCAAAAGTTGTTCTGTTTATTTTTCTGCATAACATAGCTTTTTTTCGATTTTTTTTTTTTTTTTTTTTTTTTT